TTATGCACATTCATAGGCATATATCATACATATCACTCCAAGCCGTTCAGAAATGCCTCCCAAGCTATTTTCTCTGTTACTGCGGAAAGTTGGTAGGTAGATTCTTTCAAAGGCGCCATCTTAGGCCAAATGTAAAAGCCATGTGTTTTTACCCTGTTCTAATGGAAACTGGGAGTAGACTTCATTATATTTTATTCACCCCCACCCCGCTCCCCCCACCTCATTGGATGGCCTAGAGCACTCGATCCTCCAAAGTCATGTCCGAAAACCTGAGCCCAGAATGAGTCAAATGTGTTAGTCAACTGTCCCCATGGCAAAATACCTGAAGATAAGAACCTAAAAAGAAAAGTCTTGCCAGGCAGTAGTGGGGGGAGGCACACCTTTAATCCCAGCATCAGGGAGGCAGAGGCAAGCTGATATCTATGAGTTCAAGGCCAGCCTGGTCTACAGAGCAAGTTCCTGAACAGCCTGTTACATAGAGAATCCCTGTCTCGGAAAAAAAAAAAAAAAAGTTTTATTTTAGCTCACAGTTTCAGAGATTTCCATCCACGATCCAATGACTCCTTGCTTCCAGACAGTGGTACGACAGAACTTGATGGACTGTAGGGTATCGTGGGGCAGGACTGCTCACCTACCTCACTGTGGACAGGAAGTCAAGAGAGACAGAAGAAGGGGACAGGAATAAGGTATAGCCTTCACACCCACCCTTCCAATGTTTCAACCCAAATTCTGCCCCCTGTCGTTTCCACCACTTCCCAACAGTTACCCAGCAACAACCCTGTCGGGGATTTATTCCACTGAAGAGGACAGAGCCCCCACAATTCATTCCCTTCCCCTCTCTGAACACAGATGCCCCTGCAGACAGGGCCTTCAATACCTAAACTGTTGGGAGGACATTTCTAATCGAAATTGTAACTCATTTGTGAACAACGTCCACACCAGTCTACATCCAGGTACCTAGTTCTCAGCCAGCGTGTCACAATTGTAGAGCCAGACTCTCCCCTTAGGGTCTATGAGTGGTTTAAAATTCAAAAACGTCAGAACCAAAACTTGAAGAAGGACTCGTAGCTTTCCAGAAACAAAGAGATTTACAAATGGCAAAGGTGAGCAGACCCTGCTTCACCCCATCCCCCCTCCCTGCAGTCTCCTAGCTCGTTAGATAGTTGCATCTTTACCAAACACAGTTTGAATGAGACTGCCTCCCAGGTATTTGAACACCTGGTCTCCAGTTGGTGGCGCTGTTTGGAGACGGCTCAGGCTGTACGATCTTACTGAAAGATGTCACTCAGGCGGGCTGTCAGAGTTTAAAGACCGTGTCATTTCCAGTTGCTCCCTCTGCTTTGGGCTGTGGTTTGAGATGTGAGCTGTCAGCTTACGGCTACAGGCGCCATGCCTGCTTGCTGTCATGGCTCCCCACTAGGACGGCGATGGACTCTAGCCACACTGCAACTGTAAGTCTAAATAAGTCCTTTCTCCCATAGGTTACCTTGGTCATGGTGTTTTATTACATTAGCAGAAGAGTAATAACACAGCAAAGTGAATTTTCTGGTCTCCCAGACTGCCATGCACAGCTGTGTTCTTGGCAGAGGAAGTTGAAGGGTTTACACCGTGGTGCTAGGAGACTCTGATTGCATGAGTCAATGTGGATAGTTCAGACAGGGATTCCGACTGTGGCATTTGTGGGAGTCTTATTCTCAGAGTCTGGTGGGCACAGATAGCAGGACTGTGCTGCCAGCTGCTGTCCTAGGGGATTAGCTCCCCATCTTCTGAGATTCCCCCACTCAGTGGACGAACCATGGTTCTACCAGGTTCTGGGTAAGAGGAGAACCGCCCACTAGGAGAGCTTCCTAGAGGTGTGATGAGCCTCTCCAGGAAGTAGCCAGCTTGCCCTTTCCATATTTCCTTGTACAGAAGCAGTCTCCAAGCCTCATTGGGACCAGGCAGGAACTGAACCAGTGTGCCCTTGGTGTCTTTATCATGGGAAGCTTTACTGCAACTTGGAACTCAGACAAAGGTTTTTGTTGACAGGCAGGGAAACAGACTCACACATGACCACAGCCTAAAGGTCAAACAGCTGCTAAGAGCTAAGAGGGAGTTCTGGTTCCTTCTTTCTCTCCTCTGGTCTCTATTCTTCAATTGCCTTGACTCATGAAGTCAATGGCCCCCTAGAAACAGTTATTTGAAGGTCACCTATGCTATGGATAGCTGTACTGAAAGATATTTAAGACCTGGGGCTATGATTGTACCCCTATAAGGCTTTGCCATGCAAGCGTGAGGACCTGAGTTCAGATTCCTGGCACCTATGTAAAAAGCCAGGAGTGAGAGAGAGCACCCATAATCCCAGCACTAGGAGGTAGAAATGGGTGGATCCCTGAGGTTGGCCTGCAGCTAGACTAGCGGAATGGATCATTTTCAGGTGGAGGGCAGGCAAGATGGCTCAGTAGATAAAGCTGATTGTTACCGAGGCTGGCAACCTGGTTTTGATTCCCAGAACCCCCATGGTGGAAGGCAAGAACTGACCTTTGTGATTATCCTCTGACCCACACTCTTGTGTCATGGCTCAGGCACACACACAAACATGCATGCATACACCACATACAAAAATAAATTTAAGGACATTTAATCTGCATAATGTAAGCAGCTATGGAAATAATTGTAAAATACTGTGGTATAAGCCAGAGGAAGCAACACAGGCACTCACAGACACAACTTAAAATCTCTGTAAGACTGGGGATGGGCACCAAGAGAGTGAGGGTCTTCAGCTGTCAAAAGTGATGTGTCTTGAAGTTTATGGACAGATCCTATACCACAAAGGGTTCAGGGCATGGTGGACCTGTAAGCCCAGCCCTTGGGAGAATACAGGAGCATCAGAAGTTCAAGTCATCTTCAGTGAGTTCAAGGTCAGCCTGGGCTATGTGAGACCCTGTTTCAGAAAATAAAAACCCATGGTACTCATGCGGTCCCTCTCCCCTCCTCTTAAATACCATTTTTATTAATTTAAAATTCCATATAATGTTTTCATCATATTCGCTCCTCCCCCCAAGAGCCACCCTCCTCCACCCTTCCCTTCCTATCCACCTAGCTTTCTCTACCACCTCATCATCATCATCTTCCTCTTCCTCCCTGCCTTCCTCCTCCTCCTTCTTCCTAGTTTGTGTTACCTAACTGCTCTTGGGAGTGGGCCCTCCTAGGAATGTGTTTGAACTACCAGGGTCACACCGTTAAAAAAAGAAACTCCTCTCTCTCTGGTCTCTCTCTGTGTCTCTCT